GAAAAATTACTTATAAAAAATTAAAATATTTTTAATATTCAACGTCTAAAAAAATTTATTAAGACATTTTGAAGTCAAAAATCAAATAAAGATTACTTTGACTTGTACTTATTGGACTGCATAATTACAATTTACAATGGTTTGTCCAGAGTTAATGGCTGGTCAACTTAGGCACCTAATGTTATCATATTTTATAAATAATTATATGGGTAAAATACTTTGCGGTCGGTAGTGTCAAGTTTTAGGTGAAATAAATTATTAAAATGATACCATTTCAAGTTAAGGCCCTTGTCCCAAGTTTGCTTTTTTCCTCTTCAACTTTCCCCGGTTTCCAAAAATTCATAAACCCTTAATATCAGCATGGAGATATTTCCTTGGCACAAGCAAAAAGTGTCAATTTTTTTGGTTGTTTTTTTCCTATTAATTATCCACATTAATAAATAGATATATTATTCTTTATGCTATTCAAGTCATAATTTGCCTCTCTGGTTAAGATGGAAAAACTGGATTTCTTTCCTTCTATATTTGACTTTCTTTTTATTTTTATACTCACATTGAAAATATATCTTTGCAGTGAGATGCAGTTTAAACTGTAAAATAATAGATTATATTCATATAATCTCCATTATTATTTTCTCAAAATATATGAAACCAAAACTACATAAGAAAAGAAAATCAAAGCATCAAAAGTTATATCCAGTTGAGCTTTAATACATGAATGTAAAACAGGAACAAACAGAGAGAGACAGGACAACAGATTTGATTGTTACATTCTTGGGTATTTTCCCTTTATCCTCCCTAAAGAAAAGTCCTTGATACAGAGGAATGTTGATGAGTACCAGAACAACGCAAAGAAGACTCTGCACAAACATTTTTTCATCCAACCCAACTTTCTTCATCGCCGCACCAACTAAACAGAACAGGTTGATCAATGCAATTGTTGCAAGGATAGTAGACATAGGCGATGAATCTCCAAATTCCATCATCTCTTTCTTGTATCTGTTGGAGACATCTTGGTCGGAGACTTTAGCTGAGATTACAAAGGTTGTCTCCGAGAAGCCTAGTGTTTTTGAGATTGTGTCAATGAGGGC